CATCTGATAAGAGCTGCAAGTCGAAGTGTGGTGAACTTGTGCGCCGATATGATGCTTACGAGCATGGGAATTGTGAGGCTTCTGGAGAATTGGAACTCTCTAATAGTATATCATTAACAATTCTCAAAGTTCAGTTGAATGTTGGTCGCGGCAAGGTTGAAACCATCAGATTTGCGCGATATCGCCGCTGTCATGACTATGAGCTGTCCTACTGGTCTCATTATCTGTGGAAGTATCATGAAGAGATGTCATTACATAGGGCAATGGCAATGTTGTTCCTCGGTGATGGGAGGTGGGATTCAGAATAATTGTTGTATATCCTTTTCCACAGTCAAGATCATTTATTTGAGACGAAGAGCCAATAGTTTAAGGATTTCTCAGGTTGCGAGAATGATTGAAGAATGATTTTGAAAGTACAAAGTCTCACCACTCCGCCATTACCTGCTACCTGGGTCATTCTTTCCGAGTTATCATTTGTGAGACTCAAAAAGTTTTTTTAAATAAATGTTTGTGATTGTGTGGGCCACAACACATTTCAATTACTTTCTATTATCTCGATGGTCTAGGTAGGCGCATAACTTACTGTATGCAAGGATTTATCAAGTCTTAAGAGGAAGAGGTCTACCAAATTTTCAGATACGGTTTCAAACGCGACAATCTTTCGATAGCTCTGCTTGTAATATCAATGTACCCAATTGTGGCACATAATGTTGCTGACAACAGGTAGGGGTTTCTTTGAGCGCTCTGTAGATAGTTAATCAAGAAGATAATTATTCTTAGGTTGTATCATCAACCGTTGCGTTTTCTATGGACGCATGCTGTAGAGCCTCGGCTGTTAGTACCAGTTTGTCGAAGTAAAAATAAACCAATCCAGTGCGATGTTGAGATACGGTTCAAAGTTAGTTTGTTGAGAATAAGGAGAATAACCTCAAACCACATTTTTGAAATACAAAGTCAAATCTCTCTCATGTATCGTATAAAAGTTGATGGATTAAACTCCTTCAAACGCAGAATCCCTCCATGTCGTTACCATACTACTATGGTTTGGCACCCATGGTTCTACCCCCACTGGATGATGTAATCTCAATTGCTCTTCGCGGTCCTGGCGTAGAAGAGTTGCACTTTGATCTGACCAATGAAAAGAG